CTGTGCGCGTGCGTGAACGCGACGCATGTGCAGAAAGTTTGTAGCTTTGAGGTCCGGCTTATAGATCATTCCGGATTATGGGTGTCCGAATTAACGACTTTTGACTGTAGTATCATTTATTAGCATGAGTACGTATTGTTGCAAATATTGAAAAAAATCCCTATTTCAGGGAAAATGTAAATTTGATTATTTTAGTGCACGGGAGAAGCAACTGCGTTAGGAGGGTTCGCACAGATTTTTAATTATGTAACTTTTGGTATGTATGTCAAGCCACCAGCGGCTGAGAGGTAAAGTCTGAAGTGATAGTTTGGCTGGGGGGTTAGAATCAAGCAAATTAGCTGGCTGCATGGGTATTTCCATCGTTTCACTCGTGCATAACTTGCATTTGAGCCAATTACTCTTAGAAAGTCCTCAGCAAAGACATCTCTCCTCTTAGGCAGTAGCTCTCTTATGCTTTGCCATAAGTAAAGAAACTAAACCATTTGTTACGGATATTTTTTTATAACAAAAATGGCATATGAATAATTTCTTATTATAAAATGGATTTTATATTTTATCTCAAACCCTATCTATTTCTAGGTTTATTTAAAAAATTAAAATTTGTTAGACTTAAAGGAAGACAGGTGAGGGTGGCAGCTTTAAGTTTTTGCCCCGCATAGGAAAAATGCTAAATCTGGCGCTGCAGACTGTAGTTACAAGTTTTGCACCTAACACTGCTGACATGAGTTCGGGTATTGGTAAAGATAATTTTTTCTGGGGAGCCACTCTGCTCATGACTATCACGAAACTTACTCCAGAATACACAGAAACAATGCAGTTCCAGTGTTTCATCAACATCACGAAAATACCACCAAGATATCTGGATATTGGGTAGATCACATAGTTGTCTATACCATTTGTTTCACTTGTCTTGCAATTCTGATAGGATAATTTCATCCCAATCAATGCTTTTTAGCCATAAATCTTGAAACAGAACTTTTGCTTGAATCACATATGAAGTAAGAACCCCAACAGGGACGAAGTTTTTTGAAGTGGCTTTCAAAACACAATGTTTTGTTTGGTCATTTGACAGTCTTAGCATCCCATTGAAGTCAAAGAATCTTTGAAGGGGAATTAAAGTCAGGGAATTTAAAGTTAACAAAGTTGTTACTTGATTTGTACTGGTTCTTTAAAGAATTCGAATTTGAATTCCATTTGGTCAGAGTGATTGATGACTTTTTCATTATATCATTGGCTTCTCCATATCTGATCCACAAATAAAATCGTCAACATACATGAAGTTTTCTAACATTTCTACAGTTCTGGGACAGATGTTTTCAAATTTCTTTAAATGATGCTTAATGAAAGTGCTCAGCAAAAATGGATTGATTTTGCTCAAAAAATTACATGGCACATCCAATAAACTTGAATTCTCGGGTTGCTCAAACTTGATTCTCATCAATCCACAAAAATCTTCAGGAACAACAGAAATTTGCAAAAAATGCCTTTTGAATATCTGACATAAATGCAATTCAATGAAGTTGAAAATTTATCAAAACTTTCAGTTCCAGAAGAAGATTTGGACCTTGAAGTAAATTAACATTTAGAAATTCCTGATTTTTTCCTTTGAAGAAGCATCATAAATAATTGAAGTTTTGTTGAATTATGATCATTAGGGATGACAGCATGGTGAGGAATATAATAAGTTCCTTTCCCGGATGGAGTACCAGGATCGACCTTTTCTATAATTTCTTCCTTAAACTGACTGTCAATAACGTCTTTATATTGTGCATAAAATAATTGATTTAAATTGTCCAATCAATTTTAAAAATCATCTTTCAGCATTCTTAAATTGTCACTTAAAGGCACATTCTCATCTTTCCACAGAAGTCTAACTTCGTACGCATCACCCTTTTTTGTAATCGAGTTTTTAAATATCCGTAAGGCCATTTGATTTTGTTCTTCATCAGAAATATTTTTAATTCCTATAGATTCAATATCCCAAAATGATTCAACGCTTTCTAGAAGTTTCTCTTCTACACTTACGTTTAAACACACATCATGGATTTGAAAGTATGATGAAGAAAATTTGCCCCGTATACACCACCCAAACAAGGTTTTCATCCCTACAGCATTTCTGTTTATCTTTTTTATTTCTTTGCTTGCTATTTTCCACATAATGCCTGAGCCGATTAAAACAGAAACATAATGGCTCCTCTGGAATTCATCTGGAAATTTTTGCAAAATGATAGGACAGAGAATATTTCCATAACTTCTAAAAGTAACATTTGATGATTCTAAACTTCGAGTGTTGATTCCGCATTCATCATACAGCTTATGCAGTGCTTTAACATTTGAAATGTTCCCCCACTGGTTCAAGAGATAATAATTTATTCATATGCAAAGTGATCACAACATAATGTCTTCTGAAACATTCTTTCAGAATTTCTATTGCGGAACCGTAATTCTGTTCACTTAAAGTGAAACCGGAAATTGCAGTTAAAGCATTACCGGTAAGTAAGTATTTTCGTTTCATCTGTAGGTGCAACATTCGCTGTTTTGTTCTGATGAATTGCTGTTCTAGAAAATTCCAAATTCTTTTTCAAAAATCGTTGCATTCTTCCTCTCCATATAACAGTTTATCCAAATATTCTTGACTTAGCGTAACTCCATTTTCAATAAGAGTTTCATCCCAATATTCTTGACTTAGTGTAACTTCATTTTCCATCTAATTTTGTTTTGATTTCTGTATCTAAACTTTTCAGTTCGTTGATTTTCAGAATTAACTGTTCATATAAATCATCAATTATTTCAATTTTTTCGTTTAACAGAATATTATTTGCTAACTTCATTTCGACTTACTGTTTCATAGTTAATTGCTTTACAACCGATCTTTTCTTTTTAAAATTTTCAAGAACGGATTCCATTTTCGAAATATTCAGTCTGTCAATTATTCTGGTTCGTAATAATGCTGGGAAGGAGGCACACTAAACAAAATATATGCAAGTCTCTAATAAATCAGACTAAAGCAAATTTAAAGTAATAAACAGAGAGCGTTATTCCACATAACATTTATTGACGAACACCAAAAACAAACTGAAACATATACGTAATTTTGACATTATTATTATTATTATTATTATTATTATTTTACAAATTAACACTACTGCCATTTACTGGTGAACCAAAGTTACATAATAACAATTTATATTTAACGCTTTCAACTCTGGCCATGATGACTGCCAGCCAATTCCGCATACGCATTAAATCATGACACACACATATATATACAGTCAAAAGTCTTTAATCCGGATGTCCATAATCCGGAATGATCCATAATCCAGACCTCAAAGCCACAAACTTTCTGCCCATGCATCAACGTGCGCATAATACCTTGACACATGTGCATAAAACGTTTACGCATGTGCGTTTAATGTATAACAGACGGTATAAGCTAAGCTAAAATTATCTATTTCAATTAATGTTGCAGATTGCGTTGTTCCTTACTTTTTGAATTGGATCCGGCTTATTATTTTTTGCAGATTGTTACAATAATTTTATAAAAGTAAGCTTGAACTTTCGATTATGTCAAAAAGAATTTCCGATTATGGAGCTGCCAAAGGATCTACAAAGCGAAAGCATGTTTAGATGTCCATCAAACAAAAAGTGGAATTGCTGCAAAAAATGGATAAAGGCATATCCTTTGTCTCTCTAACCATTTCGAAATCTGTTTATTAATTTCACGCTGCTTTGCGGGAGAATGGGGGGAACATCGCGGCACGCAATGAACTGGAAGTTGATCTGTCTGCATTATCCTTATCTTCAGAGCAGATGTTTTTATTTTATTCAGCTTATAATTTCTTACTAAATGTACTATTTCATCTTGATGTACTCTGTCTTTGATATGATTTAAATCAAATTCCTCATCATTATCCTCATAAATATCACGAATACACATCAAATAGTTTTCTGGTTGCAATTTTCTAATTTCGACTATGCGTAATGTATGCTTTATGCATGTGTGCGTTGAAAGAAATGTTTAATAAAGTAAACAAATAAGTATTAAGCTTCTTCTTCTTCTTTTTTTTTTTTTTTTTTTTTTTTTTTTTTTTTGTAAATTTTGATACCCTTTAGATCATAACTGCTCTTTATTTCATAAATTATGGTTTTATATTTTTAATTTTATAATTTCTGCTTGCCATCTTAGCAGATTTAAACTGATGATCTATAATCCGGAAAAAACAGAAAATCTGGAATCGCCGAAGTCCCAACGAGTCCGGATTAAAGACTTTTGACTGTATATATATATATATATATATAATGTGTGTGTGTGTGTGTGTATGTGTATATATATTTCGATAACACAGTTTTTATTTTAAACATTCAGATAATTAAGTTATGTATTAAGCCATCATATGTAATAACAATAACAACCTATTTATTTATACACAAAAAAATAAAATAAATTCTGTGTTCCCTCACCGAAATTTTTTTGAAATTGAGTAATGCCCATCACGTACACAGTATGCATTTTGTGCTCCAAGTGTTCAATTACTAGATTGTATAAATTACATTATGACTTTGGAAGAAACTTTATAAAAAATTTTTGGGTATGTGTTACTAATTTGCTTGGTTGTTTATAGAAGTAACTATTATGAAATTATATTTCAATCCTAAACTATGATTGAAAATAAGAAAATAACTTTTAAAAGAAAATTTATTTCTTTGGAGATTAATATATAAATTTTGAATTGTTTGCTAAAAAGAGAAAAGGCACCTCATATTCCAAAAAGCTTAAATTTAAATGAGTCAACAGTGAGAACCATTAAAAAAAGTATTTTGTTTTTAAAAGTTTTAAGAACGCATCCCACTATTTTGTATTTGTTTATACTCTCATACAACATAATTTTACTGTGAACCTATCTGTTTCATTATAGGAGGGATACCAGTACTGTAAATGAGATAAAGTAATGCCAAATATAGTTCATGATAATAAAGACTAATAAAATCAAAAACCTTACTTTCATCCGTAGACGGTGCTGACAGTATAAAACTATGTTTCTTTTTTACTTCTTCGACAGTAGCAACAATTTTGTCAAGGTTCTGTGCTATTGATTCCACCTGAAAATAATTCGTAATTAATAATATGTTCTGAAAAGGAATATGCAAAAATATATATCTTACTAATTTAAAGAAATCCAAGCACTGATTTTTAGATACCATAAAGATCTTTTAACCTTTTATATAATAAATATGAACCCCACTTAGAGTTCAAAGATATTCTTTGTAATATCAAAACCATCTAACTGAATTACGAGAAGAACTAATAGCATTAATTTATTATCATAAGAGCTGATTTTTTAGAGTAGATGTTGTTTTCTAATATTAAAATTTATTGTTGGGGCTAACACACTGAAATTATTTTATGCTTGTTTACATCAACATATTAAATTTTCATAGAACTAAATTTGTCTAGAAAGCACCATGCTGCTAACATTAGTAATATTTTAACATCTTCCTTTAATTTGAACCAGAGCTCTTACTGCTTTTATAATATAATTCCGTGTATAAGGCAAGAATTTTTTTAACTTTTTCTAAAGCTAAATTATGAGGTCACCTTGTAAACACATCTGATAATGTTGCAAAAAATGTAGGTACTTTTCCATTAGCCAGACACAAGTGATGAATCGCTAAATAACACACTTAAATTAAATGACTTACACATTTTATGAAAATGAATTGTTTATAACGGTGGTTTGTTGCACTATTGTCGTAATGAAAGATCTGATGTTGAAAGAATTTGTATTTGACATTCTCAACTCTCATACTCGTTTTTCATTTACAAAGAAATGTTGAGCAGCCATACTATTGTTAGAATTTTTGACAAGTGCGATGATTTGTAGTTTGAAATTTGTATGAATTTTTCCTCCCACTCATCTTTCAAAGGGGAAAAATGAAATGGCACAGAAAATAAAACTATCACAGAAACCACAGATTGCATACAGAACAGCAAATGAAGTAAATAAATATGCCAGCTTCAGATAGGGATACCAGAGTTAAAATTTTTGTTGTTAGCAATTGATGTTTTACTTTACAGCAATTTGATTGGAAATACCCCATTTTGTCTGCTTAGCAACATTTTTGTCCTCATGGAGACATGCTTGAACATTATGGGTTTTTTAACCCTTTCAACTTATACAGAGTTATGAATTATGAATAAATTTTTGAAGAAAAAACTTAATCTTGGCTAATATGTGGATCGGCTTATATACAGAAATATATGGAACTTTGCCATAATAAACTTTCCAAAGTCCACTACCTGAAAATGGATGATGATGTGAGTGTTTAGAGCAGTAATCTCAAACTTGAGGCCCAAAGCAATCTTATGTGGCCCATGAATATATTTCAATTATATATTTGTTGAAAATATGGTACTGCAAAGATTTAGAGATTTTAATTATTTGTTTTATTGTCTAGTTCATGTTTTGTAAAACTTAAACAAATTTTGATAAAAAAAAAAAACTCAACAATTTCAAAGTCAGCAATGGGAATACTGTAGGTAATACAACATTTTTATCTCCAGTGTATGAGACCATCTACAGGAAATTCTAAAGATATGTTGTTTTTAAATATTTTTAGCACAATGTGGCATTAGCCCAAATGCTCTTGAAACATGTACGCGTTTGTAAATGAAAAAAGGCACCTGTTCAGGCATAACATAAAATCCGAAAGCTTTCATTTTTTTTTAAATTCTATTCTGACTACTAAAGCACTGATATTTCCAATGGTTAGAATTTGAAATGATTAAATTTGTATCATGCCCTAGAGAAAAATCCCCTAAAGATTTTTTTCCCCCTGAGAATTTACATTAATGACAGACATTTCTCATGGAAGATGACTTGTTAAAGATGACCTTTGGGGTTAGTATAAGTAAAATGACTAATTGTATTTCTTTAAGCTGCGTTCACACCAACACGGTCATGCGTACAGAAGCGAGTTCAAAAGCGGCATTTGCCAGATGGCCAGAGACCGCATGAGTTGACTCAACTTTAACTTTTTTACAATTGATGCGTCAGTTTCAGGCATCTCATTTCAAACGTCCAGTTTATACCATGATTTTTATATCATGATGTTTATACCATGATTCATTATACTTTCAAAAATTCTTCTTGATGGAAAAAAAAGCCAAATAGACTAATATTAATAAAAATTTCAGATTAAATTTAAAAAAATGTATATGCTAATAGAATAAATAGCTTTATAAATTATTTAAAGGAAAATCAAGTTTATTAGTAGTAATAAACTTTAATAATCAACCATAAATGATATATGGTTGATAATTTTTACAGAATAATCCAAAGCAATAGATTGTTGCAAGAAAATAGTGATGGATTTTGAAATCCCAGATTCTGAATTTTTCTTAAAATATATCTACATCAATATAAGGTTGCTCTTGTTATTTAGTGGATAAAACGTTGGCTTCTTGAGTTAAAGATTTTGGATTCAAGTGTCACCAGAGTGGTGTTGTAATAGAATTGGTATCTTTTAAAAAATATTTACAGAAAATATTATGGCTAGTTTCACAGTAGCCCAGATGCTTCTTTAGTTTCCTGAAGGTGAAGTGTGAAAACGATCCTTACTTACAAGGTATCGTAGCATGGAGGTAACATGCTCAGGTAAAAGATTCAACTTTTACTAGAGGTTTGTATTACGGATTCGGGCCTTGCATTTTCCTACTTTTGAATGATGGTACAAATATACGTTTTTCTTTTAATTTACCGCAATTTCTTTGGGGGGGTGACATATAAAACTTATATTTATTTTTCATTTCATTCATCATTCATACAAATTTTCGCTCGGCATTGTGTGCATTATCCTTCTTTTGACAACGAGCCTTTGGTATAATTCATACGATCTGACTACTATGATCTGATTCTATTTTGGCTGACACGAGACTTTACTTCACGACAAGCTAACCTGAGAACATATACAAGGCTAGAACGACCTTTTCATGCCTTTACACCAGTTCTCCAAGTTATCTATACACACCAAACTGACCACAGAAATTCAATTCCTTCAATTCGCTACACATTTGGCGACTTCTTGCCAAATCCAACGTATTTTTAAGTAACAATCTTTTAATGTGATGAAGCTGCAGTTGAAATTATTACATAGTTCATTGTAGTGTAAAATATAGGGCATGTAATTGTCTTAATTTATATGAAATTTTTCACTATAACCTAAATATGACACATACGAATTTGATGACATTTAAAACCCGATTCATTACTGAAAACTTGAAACGGAAGAGCTAACAATGTATTCCTTGTAGTTTGGGTTAATTTTTTTTCCCCCCAAGACCGTTCGCTTAGTTAAAAGTAAAATATATACATTTAGAAATCTGGTAGAAGTTATTTTCTTTTAATTTTTAAGAGTTTACGCAGTTTATAGCTTCTGAAACAGTGAATCAGAGAAAAATGCCGATTTTTATTTTCTAAAGATGTTAATTTGATTTCAATTTCCAATTATTTAAAAACTCTGATTATATTTTGTAACAGACATCAATAAAAATTGTATTCTGCATTATCTCCTAAGACACATACTCTTCCAGTCATTCCCAGATAATCACTCTCCTACAGTACGTCTTATCCTATCTTTTTATTACTGTTTAAAATCAAAAATAAAATAAATAAAAATACTGGAAACTTAGATCTTCGGATTACAGTCTAACGACTAAAGAGTTTACCATTAAAAATTTCATGATACAGTCAAAAATCTTTAATCCAGATGTCCATAATCCGGAATGATCTATAAATCCAGACCTCAAAGCTACAAACTTTCTGCGCATGTGTAAACACAAAATGCACTTATGCATGCACATATGCGTTTATGCACGCACATAATACGTTTAGGCATGCGTGTTTAATATATAACGGACGGTATAAGCTAAGCTAAAAAAATTATCTAATTATCTATTTCAGTTAATGTTACAGATTGTATTGTTCCTTAATCTTCTAATTGGATCCGGCTTATAATTTTTTGCAGACTGTTAGAGTAATTTTATAAAAGTAAGCTTGAACTTTCGATTATGTCAAAAAGAATTTCTAATTCTGGAGCTGCCAAAGGATCTACAAAGCGAAATGTCCATCAAACAAAAAGTGGAATTGCTGCAAAAAAATGGATAAAGGCATATCCTTTGTTTCTCTAACCATTTCGAAATCTGTTTATAAATTTCATGCTGCTCTGCGGGGGGGGGGGGCGTAACAGTGCGCATTGAACTGGAAGTTGATCTGTCAGCACTATCCTTATCTTCAGGGCAGATGTTTTTATTTTATTCATCTTATAATTCCTTACTAAATGTAGTATTTCATCTTGATGTACTCTGTCTTTGATATGATTTAAATCAAATTCCTCATCATTATCCTCATAAATATCACGAATACACATCAAATAGTTTTCTGGTTGCAATTTTCTAATTTCGACTATGCATAATATATGCTTTAGGCATGCACACGTTGAAAGAAATGTTTAATAAAGTAAACAAATAAATACTAAGCCTTTTTTTTGTAAATTTTGATACTATTTAGATCATAATTGCTCTTTATTTCATAAATTACGGTTTCGTATTTTTAATTTTATAATTTCTGCATGCCATCTTACCAGATTTAAACTTATGATCTATAATCCGGAATCGCCGAAGTCCTGACGAGTCCGGATTAACCTTCTAAAACCGGCCTTAAATTCTCATAATATAACCTTTAGGACGGCGCGATCCAAAAAACTGTTTCCCCCTCCTTTACTGTTCCCTAATGAGAAAAGTCATTAGGGTGGTCCTTTGTTCTCTCCATAGATGCAGTAAAATTTACATGTTTGTCACATGCTGGACAATAGTTTGGAATAGGTTACTATATTTACGACTTTTTCGAGGTTTACTTTGATTTAATTTAAACTAAACTGCATTTATTTATTAAGAGCAAAATGTATACAATGTTTATATAACATTTACTAATTCTGATTAATCTCGGTAATAATGTGTAAATTTTATGTGAATTCTTTGTTTTTACTAGAAATTAGGAAAAGAGAACAGAATATGACAAAATATAACAAATATGAACCAGCTT